AGGCCTTGTGCTTTTTTCAGAATTTTCGGCAGGAAGCGCTTGTGCAGGCCCTTACTCCAATGATATGTATGTGGGAAGATCAGGACATATGTTCAAGCATCCATCTAGTGAGCTTAATAGTGGTACACAGCACGAAAAGTTGTATCCTGTTTTTATGGGGGACCTATCATTGATTCCTGTCATAAGTGCGTTTGTATATACTTTGTCACCGGAAGATATCCTTGCTCTTGATTACGCCTTAAGGTGTGGTCTTGCTAGTCGCAGTAGTCTCACAAAGTATGAAACCTGTGTTTCAAAATTCATTCATCTTCAAAGTGGCATGGTGAATTGCCCAAACTGTGTACTCTACAGCTGTGAAGATCTGGAATGTTCAAAGCAATGCCGAAAGCTTCACTCTGGTTGCGATCCCAACGAAATTCATCCGACTACTGTGTGCGAAACTGAGTCATGCGATTGTCCACTGCTCGATATATCCAGATTAAAATGGTTCAGACGAGAATTTTTGTCGCCAAATGGATTTCCATCCAAAGGTTCGTATTACTGCATTGACATTTTGCTCGCTGTTTGCAAAGCTTGGAGGTGGCCAGACTTAGTTCCAGGCGACTGTTTAAGGTAAGCTCCTGTTACCCTCATCTTTTTAAAAGCACACACAACTTAATGTTACTCCACAGTGTGTTTGTCAAAAAGTCTGTTCATCACACCATTTCCGTGCATCACATCACTGCAGTACATAGATAGTGAGTAGTCCAGTAACATTCGGGATAAAACCCTATTGTTCCAACCAGTAAATTCGCCTAAACTATTTCAGGTGGAGTTTAGTGGAAAAGTGCGTCTTATATATCCTCTGTCTAGACATAACTGCCGAAAACGCATATAGGTTTTAAAGGTATAATACAATGCATTCTGGAGTCTATTTGAGTGGAATCGCTGTTTAAGATTGTGGAGGCGCCATCGCTGTCAGTTTTTAGAATCTCTCGTGATGTCGTGCATATATGCGTGCCAATTTTTTGAGTATTGTAATGGATATCATTCTGCTTCATATTTACATGTTTCATTGTTTGCAACTTAGGCTTCTAATTATTCCGATATATCATCGGCATTTAGCAAATTTGGATTCTTTTATTCACAAGGTTCATCCTCCTTTTGCAACTACCGACCAACCTAGCAGAAAAGGAAACTATAGGGAATTTCACTATTTGTAAATGTAGATATTCCCATGGGGCTCTTTGTGTTTTAGTACTGCATGTTAGTCTGCCTAGTTTCTACTGCTTTCCAACTTTGTATTACTTTAGCTTAAAACATACTGGGGTTGAATGATGACTTATAATACTGCGTTTATGAACTTTTACAACTTAATCAATTAAATTATTTTGCCAAATAATGAATTTAGCGAAAGTCAGATAGGTAGTGTAGCGGTTATCAATTTGATTTGGATTATTTACATGTTGTGACTAGGGGCTTTAGGTTATTAGAACCAATAATGCATACTGCGAATGATGTCTCTCAAATCGTTCGTAGTGTCTCAACTACAGTCATTTTTTCGCCTATTTTCGTCGTTTTGAAAATTTCCCTTAATCACTATTTCCTTCTACTGATGTCATTCACCTTCCCTTTCTCCTGTCACGAAATGTCGTAACTGATTCGCTTCTGTATGATTTATGTGTGTAAGTAGACCTGTTCAGATAGTCCTTTGATAAGCAGTACACCATTATGCATATAAAACACGGTTATTATTGACGTACATAATTGTAGGTGTAACTTGAGAGCATCTGCCCTCCAATTTCACTTTTCTCATATTATGTGATTTCTACGAATCTCATCACTGCTTTATACTTTTCTGATGAATATCTTACGTATAGGATAGTTAAGTTTTTGCGCCAAAGTTTCGCTTTTCGGGATCAAAACTGTGCATCGTTATTTTCATTGTTTCTGATTTTTTCAAATTCACTTACTGATAACTGCAGCACTTGTTTTGGAAAAGTTAAATAATACGTTTAATGACAAGGTGTATTATGCTCTCAATCTATGGAGTTAACTGACTTTTTTATCGTAATTGTCAGCACTGAATCGACGTGCAATCTAGCTGAAGTGTTAAAATGGATTAAATGGGGTATCATTAAGAAGGACATACCTGTAGTCATAGGCAGCTCTGAATGAGCAGAATAGAAATAAAGTTCAATTACGCCCTGTTGCTACTGACTTTTATATGCAGTTTCTGATTATTAATTCTGATCGTTTTATTCACCTTAAGTAGGAAGCTTTATTCCCATTCTCTGAGAATAATCCCCGAATCTCGTATTCTTCTGCTGACTACAATAAGATATATTCAAACAGTTTTTTAGAGTGACAACCGCTGACAACATATGATTTGGTATTTAGGCAAAACAATATACTTTGCTGCAATGATCACCTCTGTTCTCATCAACAAATGAATCTGTGCTGCTGACTGACTTGTTAACCTATAAATGTTTCCAAAAGTCCATCACTTTGGGTTACCACAGTGCGAAGAAATATATCTAAAGGAAGTGAATGTAATGAAGTCGCAATAAATTGAAATTTGCGACAAAAAAATATACTTAGGTTAAGATTAGTGAAATTTCTCAGAACCTGGCTAGTTACGTGGAGTTCATGTACACGCGTCATTAAAGGTGATTCTGAGCCAGGTTACCAGTAGTTCCCAACCTTGGACTCTTGGCATCCCGAGGACCTAACCCCTATGTATTTCGGAACAATAGACAATCGCCTCATGAATTACTTCTATATTTTCGTCTGACCACCCTTGTTTTAATCTAGTTATACTTAAGCTAACATTGTTTCTTAAGGAAAACGCTAGCTTGGCCGTCTCAATTTGTGGAGCTTCACAGATTCATTGATTAGTTTCTCCCTTTACTTTGCACTCTACTCCTAGTCTCATTATTACTGACAGTATTGCCTCACCAAATACGAGAGACAATCTAGACAATTGTGATCGAAGCTCGCTAATCTCATCTTCAACGACTATGTCTCAGTCATCAAGCGGAAAATAGTGAACTGCTGCACAGTACACATTTCCTTCAATGAATACAAGGATGTCATTTCTGCGGCAGAAATAATGTAGGTCGTCAATCAATAAAGACGGCTTGTGAGCTTGTTGAGATTTCGTCAACAGTCAGTCCGGTAGAGCTGACGCAACTCTCCATATAATTGAGCTGATCGACACATTTGGCCAGTTCACATATTATTCTTAAATTGTGAGTCGGCGCAAATTAGTCTTGTAGTATCATCTTACATTTGGTAGGGTTGAGTCGCACGTGCAACATACTTAGATTCCCACTCGAGGTGTTCTGGAGGCAGTGTATTGTATCAGCGTCATCATGTACAAGAACAACATCATCTGCAAGCTCATAAAGAGAGCTTCTCCTAGCAACAAGCCAATCTCTCAAACACTGAAGATATAAGACTATATGGGATTTATGTTTTCTCTGGGATTCTAACTTCCATCATCCCGCGCCTATGAAAGACCTGCATAAACGTATTGTTTATTTTAGCTTCTTATGCAAGCGTGCAGTTCAGTAGCTGTGTGCAAGGTTAATTCAAAAGACTGAATGTTCTCACTGTCTTTAACTTCAGTTTGAGCATCACGTAAAACTAATTGAGTTTATGAAGTTTGTGGCCTCAAAGTTTATTTTATCGATTGTGCACCAGTGAGTCAATAGTTCCAGCTACTTCCAAGTTTACTGAGTTTCAGGCCTATGGATGGTGTTTAACAACAAAAAAAGTCATTTCTACTTCAGTTACACGAAGAATTTTCCTCGCAGTTTGAGTTCTGTAGTTGTTAGTCGGTTGATAAGGTCGGCCGTATGGCTACATTACGGACCTACAAATCAACTGCTCTCCACTACAAAAATGTACTATTTATGATACTGAAGTAGTTTACACACCATAAATTAGCTTGTTTTTGTTAGTGTGTCAACCAGTTCACAAGTTTTTACATGTATATATATATATATATATATATCGTCAGCAATTTAAGCTTTTCACATTTCACTTATTCAGTTCACTTTGATATAAAAGAATGATATTATAACTTCCCATACTGTGTACACGGGATATAGCTTTTTTTCTGCCTTCAGTTCATGTATCAATGAAGCTAATTATTAATCCGACAGCTGTTTGACCTTTAAATATATATATATATCTTAAGTTAGACACCAAGTTGCTCAAAAATTATCATCAGCCTTATAATAGGGGGTGGGTGGGTGGAACAAGACGATATGGTACATGGTGGTTTTGGCGCCAGTATGTTGACGGCATTTATAAATCCATTCACTGCCATTTTGGATCAGCTATTATTTGTTGCCCACCCAACACTTATTGGCAAAATATATGCATATATATATATATCATCAGTACGATTATATTTTCCGTCATCGTTCATAATCTCTTCCACATTAGATAGAAGAGGCGGGGGTTAATTATTTTTCAACAAGCAAATATTTCTAAATGAAGAGGCATATAAAAAGGAAACCAAATTAAATGCACACCGTATTGTGATAGATTTGAACTTCAAGTCCCACCACTTATCTTTATTGTTTCATGTGGATTATGTTTTGTCATATAGGCAACACTGGCGCCTACAAAAAGCTCTAATATATATTTTAATCCAGAAACCAGAAGATTTTTATTATTGCTGTAGAATTGTGTGCATAAATAAAGACATACATGTGTATGTATTCATGCATATGTTTATGCTTATATGAAATAAAATTACACTATTTTCTTGTATAGAATTAAATGTTAGTCCAATCACTAAAAGAACAAATGCAAATAACCCATAATAAAATCACGGTTTACATTATAATCACTGTTTGATTAATGTATTCATTCTTGTGGCAGACTGTCTCTCTCTCTCCCCTTCTCTACCTTTGCTTATAATTTCTAACCGTGATGGCGTCTACTGAGTCTGTGCATAATTTATCTTTTGTATTGTAATATCTTCTTGCCATAACTTGATATTATGCATGCGTATATATATATGGTTAGTTTACTTTCATGATTGCGTTAGTGACTGCAACCGAGCCTAATTAAATTGATTGGATTGACTAGTTTATCATTCTAATATCTATCTTCCACAGTATACCTAATCTATTCCTATACATAGCTCTTTTCGAAACAGTTCCAGTCTACTGTTTATGTTCTGTAAGCTGGACTGTGATTGCTTAATAAGTTTGATTTAGTCGTAAACTCAGGTTTAAGTATTGTTCATATCCACTGACATTTGGTTTGTTTTCCTCTTGTATTTCAATAGGCGAGTTGGACCATGTCAATATTTGCAAAATCAAACGAAGCCGAAGATTTGTTTGAATCCTTATCATTGGAATCGAGTTGTTGCGCAAGATAAATTTGTTGAGAAAATCCAATCATTGAAAAATTCCTCTGATCCAGGTAAATTAAAGTCTTACTTGATGTAGCGTGTGCAAGTGACACTGAGGAGTATTAAGACATGAACGGCTCACACTACTATTTAAGATTAAAATGTTCTGGGAAACTTTATTTTGATTTTTGACTTTTGGAATTAAACACATTAAATGGTTAGGGATTAGAATACATAACTTGATCAAGCCGAAATGTTAATGGTAATACCAAATGTAGTTTTTGTTCCCAAAATATATAAGCTGTATCAATAATCACTGAAGTATAATTTATCAACTCACAAACAACTTTCAAGAGTACGAACATATTATTTCAGTCACTGAAAGTTCTAATTATTCGTTAGAAATATCAGACATTTAATTGTCTTTATAGAGATTTCGTGGCAATATAAATTCAGTTGTCAAAATTAATATCCTAAAAATGATCACAGGAGCCTTATTTATGCAAACTGGTAATGCCTATTACATAAGTTTCTTTTTTTATTATAAATGATAATTGCTTTTGATATTGCCGTGTCTTCTGGGCTGGGTGTATTCATTGAGAAACTTTCATAGTCTTTCTAGATGATATCTCCACCTCTTACTTCAATGTGAAGTGAATTTTTGGAATTCTCCACGTGTCTTTCTTCACAACTTTGGCTTTGATTGGTTGTCTTCAGAGGTTTTATCACTCTTGTGTTAGTTTGTGTTGGCATTGGTCGTTTTGTCCACCTGGAATTTAACCTTTTTGGCATTTTCACCATGTTACTTTTGTTTTATTGGTTAATAAATTTGATCTATGTCAATGTTTATTGAGTGAAGATTGATCTAACTACCATGGTTCTAGGAATTTTTTTCCCCAGCATTTTTAGTATTTCTGCTGTTTAGAATTTTCACATTTTCCCTGTTAAACTAGTGTCAATAGTTGTCAGCATGTTTTGATATGCAGAAATGCATGTCATGTCCTTTGACGGCTAGTTTATAATCTCAGATTCAAACTCAAAATGGCAAGTCCGATTTGACCAGTATAGTGCTTTTCACAATTGATTGAATTTGTGTTTTAGATGTGTTGATCTTGTCTTTTCTTTTGTTGGATGTCTTGGTCTCCAGAGTGCCGAGTGAACTGATAGTTTCGGTTTGTATGCAACATCTGTTCAGAATGGTTTCAGTATTCCATTCTTTATTACAGAATTTCTCTTCATATATGGTAGGATAGATTTTCTCGAGGTTTCTGAGAATGTTTTTCTGCTAGTAGTTTGATTCCATTGTGGATATCCTTTGATAAAGTTACAAGGTAATCAAACTGTCTCTCAAGTCAAGTGGAATAATGAACTCAGAAGACAGTTAGTGCTTTCAAGAATATATAATATTGAGAAAAGTAATGCATGCAGCAGAACTTTCGCTTCGTCAATAAGTGTAGATCAGAAAGTATATAGCAACACCTCTTCCAGTAAACTAAGTACGAAAAGTTCAGGTGAGCTCAGATACAAGTGTGAAAAACTGAATAACTAGAAATTCATCATTCTGAGGGAGAGAAAGAAGAAATAAGTCCATTTCGAAGTAAAAGTTATGGGCTGGTTTAGGAAAACATCTCCATGGTTTTTACTTCAGTGCACAGGATGAAATTTTAACGAATTCAAATTCAAAAGACGAGAGAAGATAAATCAGATCGAATACAATGATAAGATGTCGAAAGTTTGATGGAGTACCTGTATTAGTGAGTCAAAGTCCCATGGGTTCATCTCACTTAGGTGTTGTAATTTTACTTACGTAACAAGTCATGTTAACCAGGATGATGTTAATAGTAAGTTAAATTCACTGAACAAAACTTCTCAGTATTAGCTGCATTAATCTATTCAAAATCTTGATAGTTATAAGATTTAGACTATTAAGTTTTTCGACGTCACCTCTTGGCTAGACTCGATATCCAACTACTGACCAAAGGAAGTGTGTACTGCGCAGGAGTTCATTCTGTCATTGTTTATGGCTGTGAGACGTGGCCGTTGAAAGTGGAAAATGTTAAAAGGCTAGCTATTTCTGACCACAGATATTTGCGTTTTATCTCCGGTGTTAATCAGTAAGATATGGTGAGTAATATTGAGGTTAGGCGTAGAGTGCTAAGTAAGCAGAGCAAGTCAATCGATGGGTTTGTGAAGCTACCTCGATTAAGACGGCTAGAACATGTACTGTGCATTCCAAGCCAGCGCTTTCCTGGGTGAACAATTTGAGCTGACATAAGATTAGGTTGGGAGAGAGTTGATAGTGATCAAATAAAAACATGAATTTAATCCATGAAGTCGTTCACTGTTGATTTGCGCCATCTAGGAAGGTATGGACTACCTGGTCGGGATCCTCAAAACGCTAATAACTAGTGGCTGGAGACTATTGGTGATGATATGACTTAAAATTATTGCCGATGGCAGAGATGTATTCACTATTTATGAACTGTCATATCCACTGATTCCTCACTATTATTCTGATCCTTTCTCCCGTACATTTCCGTTCATCACAGTTTGTTTGCATTTATTTCTCTTCATATTTCTACATTTGTGTCTACTTTGTGAAATGTGGTAACTTGAACTGATGCACTTTTGTGCAAAGTTCTACATTGAAACCTCATCTAGTCGTAACTGTATGAAACATAGTTTCTGAGTCCTGGAAATGCTTCACCTAGTTATTATCTAGTTACGTTCATCTACTAGGAGTTTTTGAAGTAATTACTAATGTTGTAGATTGGTATCTGGTAAAACTGTTACAGTCATCTCATTTCGAAGTGATTCGACTGCAACAATATGATTTTCTTTTATATCGTCGTTAACACTAGCAAATAGTTCTGCTTATCTTTTTGTAAATTAAACTGTGTCCTAAGCTGCTTTATAAGTATACAGTTGGTGTGTAATATACGACTATCAGTTATCTCATTGAATACACCTTGTTCTCTTGGTAAATTTTGATTGAGCAATGCAGAGTTAAGATCTCCTATTATCTATTTACCTCTCTACCGGACACATGGATATTCCCCTTTAATTCTTATAGTTATCTGTTGGGGATTTATTTCCGTAAATTAAGTAAATCACATGGTGAAGGTCGTTACGAACCGACATCATTCAGAAATCCATTAAAATCCAAGATGTACAGGACATAGATTTAGCTTTAGCGTGGAACGTCCTAATAAAGCGCATTAGTGGTCCTCGAGAAATCAATTTCAGGTAGGTAAGGTCCCACCCAAGCACGTTGTTAATTCAATCAACGACCCATGAAGCAATAACCAGTCTATTGTGACAATTTTCTTCCTACACCTTCAAAAATAGCCCGGCAGTAGGCGGAAAGCCAATGTACACGAGTAGATATTGTGAACTAGGGTTATAAGTGAATAATCAAAACAGTGAAAAAGAAGAAAATTTGTTGTATTATATTTAATCGAAGTTTTCGTAGCTCGGTAACTTGAATAAACCACCTTTCTTTCTAAATTCAATTCTTGAATGTGAAAGATACAACTGTTGTTGTTGTAGTACCATAGTATCATTTCTTAATGTTACCTTGTTTTAAATTCATTGAAATTATCTATCACATGAAAAAGTTTGTTACTGTTGTGGCTAATAGAGTGTCCCACTTTTTCAACACTGCATATAATTATACTTCACCTCAATTATTTAATTACTTCTAAAAGCAGCGGTAATTTGTTAAATTTTTTTTCACTACTAATGGAATGTTCTTTACCCCTTCCTCCTCGTTTCTTTTAAATCCCTGAGTATAATTAGGTACTGCCGTATATTAACCTCTATTGAGTTTTTACATGGCTTTCCTTTTTTCGGTTTGCTAAAAAACGAGTGATATTTCTATAACCTACATGTAATGTATAGCTGTGGTGGTATGATACGTTTAAAATTCTCAGGGTGTGTGTGTACGTTAAAACGAAAGAAAAAATAGAGACAATAACACACTTGAAATGCATGTGTACACTTTGTATTATATAAATGTGTTTAGAAATTAACTTGAAATTATGTCGAAATACTCGGTGACATATAGATAGATATATGTGCATATAGCCTTAGCACGCATTCATTTGTGTGTAAATACAGGTATGTACAGACAAAAAGTTAAATACACTGTGTGTATGTGTGCATATTTAGGTTTCAAATATATATTGCAAATTACACTTGGTGCATATAACATAAATATTTCTCATCAGTTTTTAAAACTACCATGTGTATGCGTTTATGTACTCTTTACTGTGCTAATGTGAATATTGAATATGCATATATATATATATATATATATATATATATATATATATATATATATATATATATAGGATATTTTCTGTTGTTCAGTTTATTAATCCTATGTCAAATATGTCTACATTCTCCTCTCCCCCCCCCCCAACCTCACCTCACCTCACTACCCACACATCCAACCAAAAAGATTTGTCTCATTTTCTGTCGCCATTAGATGGCACCCGTTTGGTGCCAGGTGTCATTACTTGTGAGGGCAAAGATAGATATAGATTGGCGCCAAACCATAAAAGCCTTCGGCGCCATCCACTTATACATATATGTATATATATTCACAGGGTGTAACTTGGAGCCAAGTTCTACAGTCAGGGAGACCTATACCTTTTGTAAGTCTTCCCCACAGAAGAAGTAAAGTATGCTGTGATATTTTACTCTTGATATTATTATATATATATGTATATGTATATATGCATAATTTCACATAGTTGTCTATAGAGAGAAAAATAATATGAAGCGTTTTTCGGTGCTTAGATTTTTAACCCATCACTCACTCATTCAATCACGACGACAACGACAACGTCGACCATGACCACAACTGTCATTGCATCATTTCTAGTTATGATTATATGATTGCCATTATGTTAATAATTTTCATGGTATTTATATACTTCATAATTTGATTTTTAACCTATTGCATTGTTAGTATTGTTGTTGTTGTTTTTCCCTCGTCTTCCCTCTGTTATTATAATTGTTATTACTATTATTATTAGCAGTAGTAGTAATAGTAATATTATTGTGG